AAAGGAGGGCAAGAAGCAATCCCCTGGGGAAAGATGTCACGTCCATGCCTCTTTCACTAAGAGTTATAGACCCCAGGCACGACGGCACAAAGATAATGTAAAGGTTTCCTAGGTAAATTCGTCATAATATTTAGATCCAAAAAGAAATGGGTTGCAGCTCAGAGAATAGTAAAAGTTATAAGTTGGTCTTCATGTCTCACTTATTTAAAATATAAGGACTCTTCTTTTTCATCGCTCATTATAACTCTTGACTTCTATTTGTTGGTTTTTTCTGCCCCTTTTCTTTGTTCTCGTCTTATTAAATATCCATTCCTCCTGATGGAATTAAACTTTGTTCTGAGATCGCTATCATAATTGGCCAAGAAGTGAAGTTTCGGCTCAGATTGACACTTTATTAATGGGATTTTCCTCCATGATTTATACATCCGCAGAGCCCTGACCTGCCTTGGTTAACATCTGATGCTTTAAAGAGGCTTGTCAGGTTGATGGGATTTTAAATATCAAATGGATCTCTTATTTCCCCTGATTTGTCATGCTGAATAAATACTGGGAGACAAAAGGGCTTTATTCCAACACTGGCGTTGGCCTTATCAGGTTAATTTTTAATGTTGTTTTTTTTGCTCATGCAAAACTATTAGCCACCAGAAAAATTAATATTTAATTTTTTTTTACAATGGAGAGAAAGCATAATATTACTTTCAGGCAATTGCGTCATGCATTTTGGATTGAGGGTGCTTCTACACTATAGAATTAATGCAGTTTGACACCACTTTAACTGCCATGGCTCAATGCTTTAGGATCATGGGAGTAATAGTTTTTCAAGGTCTTGCATCTTCTCTGCAAAAGGATGTTGGTTCTTGAAACAACCCCCATGATCCCACAGCATTGAGACATGGCCATTAAAATTGTGTCAAACTGGGTTAATTCTACAGTGTAAATGTACCTGGGAATTTATTTACTTATTATTACTATTTTTTGCATGGGCAGACCTATGCCAAACAGGGCAGGCATACTCGGCAGTTGAGTAACACAAGGCTAGGGCTGATGTTCTTACTAATTTTGGGTCTGCACCCCATGTGCTGCCAGTAAGTTTCTGCCAGATGTTTTTGCGTGCAGCTACTTTGTGCTTGGTGTTCAGGCAGTGTTTCCTATATGCTAGTGTTCAATCTAAGGTGACACTGAGATATTTAGGATGGAAACAATGTTCAAGCTCTTAACCTTCCCAGGTGACTTTCAATTTCCTGTTGGCTTCACGGTTGCGTATATAAATAAATCAATAAATAAATATTATTTATATAATATAGATTATTGCAATGCGCTCTACGTGGGGTTGCCTTTGAAGACAGCCCGGAAGCTTGAAATGGTCCAGCGTGCGGCAGCCAGCACACAACTCCTCTGCTGCATCAGCTCTACTGGTTGCCAGTTTACTACCGGGCTCAATTCAAAGTGCTGGCTTTAGCCTATAAAGCCCTAAACAGTTCCGGCCCAGCTAATCTATCCGAACGCATCTCTTCCTACGAACCCTCCTGCTCTCGATCCTGCCTGCTTCACAGACACGTCTGGCAGGGACGAGAGACAGGGCCTTCTCTGTGGTGGCCCCTCGGCCGTGGAACTCCCTGCCTAAGGATATTAGATCAGCCCCCTCCCTCCTGACCTTTCGGAAAAGAGTAAAAACTTGGCTCTTCAAGCAAGCATTTGGAACCTCGGAATAAATAGACAAACTTGAATAGGAAAATGACCCAGGAATGGCCCAAGACGATGGAACGGATGAGGATTTGAATGAGAGGACATAGATTTTTTAAAAATTGTTATTATACACTGTTTTTATATTTAAATGCACTATAATGTTTCGTTTTTGCTTATCAATGTATGTATTTTTATGGCATCGAATTGTGCTGACTCTGTATGCTGCCCTGAGTCACCTTTGGGCTGATATGGGCGGGATAAAAATAATGTAAATAAATAAATAATATTATATTATATAAAATATTATTTAATATTATTAGTAGTTTTATATTGTAGCACATTAGTGTGTGTGTGTATATATATATATATATATATATATATATATATATATATATATATAAAATGTAATATATATTAGGTAAAGGTAAAGGTTTTCCCCTGACATTAAGTCCAGATGTCGGATCAACCATACTGCACACGCAAATCACAGTACTTGAAAAGACTGCCATTATTATTATTATTATTATTAACTTTATTTGTACCCCGCTAGCATCTCCCGAGGGACTCGATGCGGCTCACACAGGCCGAAGCCTCAAAACACAATACAGTAAAAAACATAACACAACAATAGCAAAGCAAATCAAACAATAAGCAATAACGACACCTCCAAGGTCATGTGGCCGGCATGACTGCATGGAGCGCCGTTATTATATATATATATATATATATATATATATATATATATATTATATTACAATGTTATTATTTCTATATATTATTATGTTGTATATATTATGCCTATATGTTATTTAACATCTACATGAAGCTGCTGGGGGAGGTCATCCGGAGTTTCGGAGTAAGGTGTTATCTGTATGCAGATGACGTCCAAACTGTCACTCCTTCCCACCTGTTACTAAGGAGGCTGTTCAGACCTTGAACCGGTGCTTGGTCGCTGTGTCAGACTGGATGAGGGCTAACAAATTGAAATTGAATCCAGACAAGACAGAGGTCCTCCTGGTCACTCGAAAGGCCGAACAGGGCATAGGGTTATAGCCTGTGTTGGATGGCGTTACACTCCCCCTGAAGATGCAGGTTCGCAGCTTGCGAGTGATCCTGGATTCATCGCTGAGCCTGGAACCCCAGGTTTCGGCGGTGGCCAGGGGAGCTTTTGCACAGTTAAAACTCGTGCACCAGCTGTGCCCGTACCTTGGGAAGTCTGATCTGACCACGGTCGTCCACGCTCTGGTTACATCCCGAATAGATTACTGCAACGCGCTCTACGTGGGGCTGCCTTTGAAGACGGTTCGCAAATTTCAGCTAGTCCAACGGGCAGCAGCCAGATTACTAACTGGGGCGACATACAGGGAGCATACCACCCCCCTCTTGTGCCAGCTCCACTGGCTGCCAGTCCATCTCCGAGCCCAATTCAAAGTGCTGGTTCTGCCCCAGCTTACTTGTCCAAATGCATCCACCTCTATGTCCCATCTCATAATCTAAGATCATCCGGGGAGGCCCTGCTCTCGCTCCTGCCAATTGCACAAATGCATCTGACGGGGACGAGAGACAGGGCCTTCTCGGCGGTGGCCCCTTGCCTATGGAACACACTCCCAAATGAGGTAAGATTTGCTCCCTCCCTTCTGGTTTTTAGAAAGAAATTAAAATCATGGCTTTCGGATCAGGCCTTTGGACAGTAGATGTTTGTAGAGTTTAAAGGATATGGACTAGAATGACAATACGACTGGCGAGACTGTTTTTATTATTGATTGTTTTAATGATTGCTTATGTACTGTCTAATTATGATTTATGTTTAATTGTGGTTTTATTATTGTGGTTGTTATGGTTTGGCATCGCGTCAGTGTCCAATGTATGGCACTGAAGTTTTGTCAGTTATGTGTAAACCGCTTTGAGTCCCCCTAGGGGTGAGAAAAGCAGTATAGAAATACTGTAAATAAATAAATAAATAAATAATAGTATGTATATTACTGCCATTCTATTACACAAAAGCACAAATTGCAAAAAAAGGTGTGTTTTCATGTTTAATTGTGCAATGGTTACTTTGGAAGTAGCTGTTGTATTTCAGAAACTTTGTTTTTTAGGCACAACTATGTTAAATCGGTGGAGACTATGTCATGAGGTTGCAAAGCTAGAGCCAAATGTGTGGCAGGATGATGTCTCTCCTGCACAAACAAAGTTTTGGCAGTTTAATAAACTTTCCCCATGTTTTCATGACAGAACCAATTAGGAGCTGGCATTTATCACCCAGGAACAAAAAGCACAAACATCCTGCCAGACAACCCATAAAAGCTGGTCTGTCTGAAATGCGGGGTTTATGATCCCAGGGCCAATTAAGCCCGGAATTGCAGGCACATCCAGCCTTTGAACTGGCCATAAAGCTCACACCTCTGTCTGGCTTGTCTTTTGGGAAACCTCTTAACACCAAACCCTCCATTCCTATCCCTTTTGCGCGCTTTCCAAAAGATCCTTGGGAGATGTAGTTCGGAAAGGCTATCTCCTGCCTTAACAAGAAGCCTTTCAGAACTACACTTCCCATAATACCCTTCGAGAGCAGTTGACAGCGCAGTATCAGCTCTATTCCACCGCCTGGGTATTTTGGACTTCATTTCCCAGAGTTCCTTGCTGTTGCCCGAGCTGGTTGAGGCCTCTGGGAGTTGGAGTCCAAAACAGACGCGCGAGACGACTCTCCCGAGGCGGGAGATCGTAGGGGGCGGAGCCAAATCATGTGGGCGGGGCCTACGGCTCGGCACAACTACCTAAAGGAGGCGGGATTTGGAAGAGTGCATTATACCTCGAAGGGGGGGGTATATCCGAACTTCCCTCATATTCATTTTTAAAAGAAACGCGGGTTCATTTATCAAACAAGCGGATTCTATTACAAAATTAAATTTCTACTATAGCTTTGCAGTATTATTGAAAAGATAGTAGAGACTGACTCTTTCTTTTTTAAAATAACTATCTCTCTCCCCCCATCCTTGGAAGAAATGGTTCGCTCCGCAAAAAAAAAGTAATCGGAGGAGGTGGAGTTGAAAATAGTGGGCGGGGCTTAGGGCTCGGCCTCACTACCGGTTGTTATTCCTAAAGAGGCGGGAATTGGAAGAGTCCATTTTAACAGGAAGAGGGAGGGAATTAGAAATCCCCTCCGCTTTTGTTACAAACTGAGAGATCATTCGTCAAGAAAGTGGATTGTATTAGGAATTATACTTTTTATTATAATCTGAGAGTGTCCCACCGGAGGTTGTGAAATAGATCAGATAATTTATTTTGAAACTTGTCAATTTGGCTCCCCCCCTTTTTCATGTGATGGTTCGGCTCGCAGCGCGCGCCCTGCTCCCGCGGTTTGGAATGGAATAAGTGCTTGGCGGGGGAGGGGGGCGCGCAAAGAGGGAGAGAGAGAGATCCTGAGCTGCTTTGGAGAGAAGAGCCCTTAAGAGATTGAAGCAAGTGGACGGAACCATGGCGAAAGAAGAGGGGGAGGGAGAGGAGGAGAAGAAAAATGAAGAGGAGGAAGAGGAGAAGAAGGAGGAGGAGGAGGAACTGAAGGTTCCCGAGGAGATGTTCAAAGATGTCAAGTTCTTCGTCGTGGGGGACATAGACCCCAAGGTACCCTCTCTTTGGTCTCATTTCCCTGTCCCCCCCCCGTTTGCTTTGACCTCAATGGACTCTTCCACTTCATTCCTTATCTCCCCTCCCCCACGTTCTGCTGCTCTGAGAGCCTCGCGCCTTCTCTCTTTTCGACGGTTCCATTGTCCTTTTTAAAGGGGGGGGGGAAGTATGAGACACGAATAAGCTTTTAGCTCAACTGACTTCTGTGTTTTTTTTAAAATTATTATTTTAATTTGTGTACTCGTCTTTCCTTCGCACAAGCCGAGATACGGAAAAAGAGGCGAAACATGACAAGTGTGACGGGGAAAAAGGCACGATGGGTTCCCCCTCTGCTCTGATTGGGTTGACAAGGCAGGTTTCGCCCCCTTTCAGGCGCCCCGCGCATGCGCAGTTCGCTCCCCTGCTGGTGGCCCTTCACCAGTAGGCCTCTCTGGCTTTTTGCTAGCAATGCAATGGAAGGCAATCCCTCACCTGGGATTGGTCACACGGGTAACCAATGCTGAGATAATAATGTTCCTCAGGTTCTGGTTTGCATTCATTCTACAGTACAGATCATGAAGTTCAACAGGGACAAATGCAAGAATCATAGAATCAAAGAGTTGGAAGAGACCTCATGGGCCATCCAGTCCAACCTCATTCTGCCAAGAAGC